GCGTCGTGGAGATGGCACGGAAGGAATTCAGCGCCTTTATCACGTCATCCATTGCGTTTGACACCGTCTTCTGAGAAACGCCAACTGTGTTCGCCAGAACGTTTTGATGGACATTCGTGCTAAGGTACCGCAAGGCGATGTTGACTTGCAGCTCGCTGATTAGCTTAATCCGATAATTATGCTTGCTGGTAAATATATCCATTTATCGATTTGGAACTCCCAAAAATTCTGATGTTACATTTTTGGTAGCTGACGCAGAGAAATACGGCTTAGAGCTTTTCATTAAAGATTTCCTGCTATCTGTATGCGCTCCCTATCCTTTGTTTTCACTGATGGAGCCCATGCAACTAACCTTCGTTTTCATCCTCAACACGATTGTCGATGCGCTCCAAAGGCATCAAAGGCTCAGTAGGCCGTAAAGTCGCCGAAGGTGGTCCTCCCTCATCCAAAACTTCCTCAAAATCAGGTAGACTCGAGTGGAAGAAGCGCAAGGGATGGGCGTCCGTAACGGATATTCCTATGCCTCCAAACAGGAGCGGCGTAAATGAGCATCGGTAGCAGTTTGAATGATTCACCAATATCCTAAGCTCTATTAAAGCGTCATCGTGAATTCGTGGTTCGAAAAGCATAATCACAAGAAAATTCAAAATTCAAAGATAATAATAAATAAACATCGTCAGTAAAGTGCTCTTGCAAAACTTTTTCGAAGTTCAGAGTCTACCGCTTGAGTCCATTGATCATGTTTAAAGACATATAGCATCTTCTTGCGCAACCTTGCAGTCTCTGCATTTTCGAATCGTACATGTGTGGTCGAGCAGTTGGAGCATGGGCTTTGGGGTATTCGAATCGACAGATGGAAGTTCAAAGGCGCTTAACGCGAAGTTTTTGCGTCGAACAGGGAGACTCAGGCATATTCTCACCACACATTTGCTATGCGTTGTAACGCGTGGTCCATCGGCGCGTTGGCGCACGAAGTCGAGCATGCAAATTCGGCCGCGTGCCATGCGATTGTATTGTAGCTGTCTGTCTGGGCCAGTCTGAGAGTTCACAGCAATGCTGGCAATTTTCCGTGATGTGTGCCGACTTCTCGCCATTTGATGGCGCAAGATAGAGTAGATTACACACCCTGGGGCGGTTATCAAACTCCCACTCGCATTTGGACCATTATTGACGACGCACAGACAGG